GTGCTTGCTTGGTTCTGGTTCTTGCTTTTGGTTCTGGTTCTTGCTTGGTTCTGGTTCTTGCTTGGTTCGCTTGCAGTAACAGTGGTGGTGGTGAGTTCTAATTTATATTGCTTCATATCATCCAATCAGCCAATCAAATTATTGTTGTGAATTTAACGTGACTAAATAAACGCGAGATAGTATTTGTTGATTTCCAATTAAGGTTAAGCGAAGCGGGGTGTAACGTGATGGAAAAAACATGAAAGTATAACATGACTTAAACGTGGCAAAAAAAACAACATACGTATGTACGTAATAAAGAACATGTACTACTATGTAAGAAGGCAATTTTATATGCAAACCAGCTTTAATTGCGATTCCCAACATTTGATAATTTTTACAGCTACAAGGTTTTTAATCAAATTGAATAATGACTTACCAATCGGTGTCAATTATATCAAATTGTTTCATAATGCGTAAAATGTCGCATGATTTCTAACAATGAATAGATGCCTACTTTTCATCACCAATCTATGGTTATTTTTAAATATCAGACTCGTGATTTTTAGCCGATCTCCTTTCTATCCATATTGATGCCCTTTCAAATTGCTCACTATACACATTTCATATATATCACCCAAACGTTTTATCCAAATCCAAACGCTTGTAAAATCCCTTCTGATTCGACCCAATACATTCGATACCAGCACTGGATTCACATCACAGAGCTTTGTGCCTTAAGAGTCTTTTGCCAAGATTTTTAATAATGCAATAGCATCATCACTGATAAAATCGCTGTAGTCATATACTAAACCCAGAGATAAATCTTGAAGTTGAAAGAAACATTTTCCGTTTTGTCCTAATAAGCAGCAGGTCTCCAACTTAATTATCGTACATTCAAAAAAATTTAAGTGTAAATTGAGCAAAGAGGCGCCATTCTCAATAAATAATTTAAGTAATAAATTAGTTATGTGATATATCAGTGGGTTGTTAAAAGATATTGAACTAACAAGCTGAAGTTCGAGCCATTTTCTAGCCATCTCTTCTAAATGAAATAAATCAAAAACCTTAAGATATCTTGCATAATTAAATAGTGTTTTTTGAAAATTCTAGATTGATCCCATAGTCTTTTAAAATATATTTTTCATCATGAAAAATATTTAGAAATTAAATGACAGCTTTCGATCAGATGAAAATGGGTCTTGCCAAAGAATTGAAATTGACATTTTGCACCAATTTCGGTGCATGAGTATAAGAAATAAAATTCATTATTTAAATTATTTCCATTAATTCAGGTATACACTGCCCATAACACTATATTAACGTAGTTCCTTAACTTGCAAATATAATGCAAAAGAACTGCTACTTAATTCTTGACCTTTGTTTTCAAGTTCACTTGAAACTTTGATGTTTTTACTTCAATAAATCCGCGAGCTTCACTGTTTCCTTATGCTTCTTTTCATGAATCGCCACCTAGTGCTTTCCAGTTTGGACTTAACTGTGGTAATTCAGCGAGACTTCTGTTCGCTTACTCAGGTTCTTTCTGTCGTGGTTTATCTTTGAATTTACAAGCAGAAGTAAAATGTATGTACGTACATATGTATTTACGTAGTTATCATGTGCCTTACATTATTAATTTTACCAATATATGTATGTACTACGTATGTACGTACATAGTAAACCACATATGTTCGATCAACATCTACTTGTTCAATCCTTTCTGGTTTTAATTCTACTACGTATCATTACGATAACCAACACCATATACTTCATTAGCATATCTTACGCAATTTTCAGTCTCCATTCAAATCATCACCTTCAAATATATCTCAATGATAATTAAATGCTTTATACGTATGTATGTACGTATCTATTCGTTTCATTACCAACATTTTCACAACCAGGCTATATTGTATGTTTTTGATAAGATTTTCCGTTTCCGCTGATTTTTGAGAACATTCGAGTTTATTACATTTATCCTTATTAACTTCAATTTCAGGAAAAAAATCGCCGGCATTTAATGTTCCTTTAACATTTTCAGATTTTTAGATATTTTCTCATTCTTGACATTGTTATCACCATTTCTATAAACCAGAGGGCCTTGCATCGTGAATTTCACTGCTTGGATCTGTATCCTTTTTTCTTTTCTTATGCCGGTTTCTTTCTAATGTTTACACTATCCTTCTCTTTTATTTTATTCACAGGAGTACTTAAGACGGCCTAATGTTCTGGTGTCAAATTTCACTCGCTTGACTGTTCATTTAGATTGGAGTATTATAAAGATACTTTACTGAAGAGATAAATGTGTTTCAACATCATGCACAGCAGCAATATAATCATGTTACTAGAGATTGAACCCATCTAACTGCATGAAAAATTTTATAGAATTATATTGATCATAGGCTGGGAGAGATAAGATTTATTTAGACTATAATATGTATTAAGAAATTGGTTTTACAACTTTTACATACTATGCTTATTATATTGAAATATTTTGCTTGTTAAAAAAGTTCAAATACATTAAAACATACTTAGAAAGACGCGTAGCTATTCATTTATACATATCTTGACTGCAAAGATAATAAGATGTAGTTCTTGAAGTATCAGATACAGGTTAATATATTTTCTAATTTTATCAAACTAGAAAACCTTTTCTTTTTTTTTTTTTATTATCACTATTATATCCTAATTACATTCGAATTAACTATTTTTAATTTAGGTGTTTGCATTCCAGAAATCGTCCTTCCAAATATATTCAAGCATTTTTATTGTGTAGAATTTCAAAGTTCGTGTAGTCATAAAGGCACT